CAAAGACAAGTCTTTGGCACATGTAGTGTGGGGGTTTATGTTAGACCCTTACATAACACAGGACCCTAAGAATTCTATCTCCAGTGAAAGCTGCCAAAGTTTCCTTAGCTTGGGGTAAAAGTATCCCCTGAAAATGCAATCCTAAGATTAGCCTCATGGATGTGGGAACAATGCTGTAGTCCCTGTGTCGCCCAGAAAAGCACACGCTGAGGAGTTAGTGTTGCATGGTTCGAAGCTCCCAGATTCCTGCCTCAATATAAATACAATGCTTTCTGGTGAAAACAAACTCCACTGGGCCTTTCAGGATTATGACAAATTAAGTTCAGCCCAATATTAGCAATCTCAAGTTCAGAGACGGCAGAAACCAACAGTATGATTAGACCTCCAAAGACTTCAGATATTGGGATTAGCAAACACAGGATAAAAAATAAGTATATTTTATTTTTTTAAATTTATCTTTATTATTGAAAGTATTACAAATATCCCCCTTTGCTTTTTTTTTTTTATTTCCCCATTGACCCCATCTACCCTGCACACACCCCTCCCAGGCCTTCACCACTCCATCATCTGTGTCCATGGGCTATGCATATAAGTTCGTTGGTTAATCACTCCTCACCCACTTCCCAACCCCCTGCCCTCCCTCTGAAATTCATCAGTCTGTTTCATGCTTCTCTGTCTCTGGATCTGTTTTTGTTCATCAGTTTATGTTGCTCACTAAATTCCACATGAGTGAGATCATGTGATACTTATCTTTCTCTGACTGGCTTATTTCGCTTAGCATAATGCTCTCCAGCTCCATCCATGCTGTTGCAAATGGTAAGAGTTTTCTTTTTTACAGCCGCATAGTAGTCCATACCACAGCTTTTTAATCCACTCATCTGCTGATGGGTAATTGGGCTGTTTCCAAATCTTGGCTATTGTAAATTGTGCTGCTGTGAACATAGGGGTGCATAAATTCTTTCTGGTTGGTGTTTCTGGTTTCTTAGGATATATTTCTAGAAGTGGGATCACTGGGCCAAAACAAGAACCTGTACCATACCCTTGCGAAAAACATGAAACAAATGTCCATTCTTTTCCAGCACCAAGGCAGCGAGGCGCTCTGAGACACCTGCTGGGCCTGTCCTACCTCACCAATGGCTGCAACAAATTCAGAAGCCAACTGCTTGACATGGGGATCCTGTCCAGGCCAGTTGAGCACTTGGAATGTGTCCCAGGTCCTGTCTGTCTCTGTATGGGCCTTCAGGTTAGAGTTTGTCATATTCACTTTGTCCTTTCCCCACCCTCAGGTCTTCCACAGGCAACTCTAATCCTTTATTTAGAACAAAGCTTGTCATCTGCATTTTCCTGGTCCCTGCTACTCTGTAGCCACACATTTGAATCCATTTTGATCCAAAATTCTAGTGAGTATTAAATAATGTACTTTTTCTTAATCTGATAACTAGAAATTATAGAATAGCACCACATTAAAACTGCTTATAATCCCTCTAACCACTGAACTATTCTTTTGTGGCCTTTCCTTCTAGTAGTCTATGTTTGTAGACATTAACAAGTTGGCATATACAGGGTGTGTGTGTGTGTGTGTATTAATGTAAAGCTCATTGTAACATTTGAGTGTCTTACTCAAATATAAAAGAAAATTTCCTCTTATTCTCTCCCCAGTTTGTTCCCTAAGACTACTGCAGATATAGGTGAAAAGTAAGTGAAATCAATATCAAGTACTTTGCTATGTTATGAAACATTTCACTTATACTTGTTGAAAATGTAGTTTAAAATGTGGGTGCCCCTTTTGACTTCTATGCTTAATACTGCATATTATACAACCTTAGTGGTCGTTTATTCTAAAATTAGCATAGTATCCCTCAGATGTCAGGGTGGGTTTGGGGGTAGTAGTTGGGGCATGGATGGTGTGAAGAGAATACAAGAAGTTTCTTATTCTAGGGGGCTGGGGCCAAAATGTGGGTCCTGGCAAGGCTATGATTTGCCTGTAGCATTATCTCCACCTCTCACATGAATAGCAGACATTTAGCATAATCGGATAGGAACATTCTAGAACTGTTGATGGGCTGCCACTATAGTGCAGAGAAACCAAAATAAATCCACAGTCAGCCCTCGTAGGACAGCTGTCTTGAGCTCAATTGTGGACCCATTCTGGGGACCTCTAGTGTTATTGAGAGGAGGTTTGTGAATATACCAACAAATGCCATCGGGATCTCATTAGCGTCAATTAAATAGACACTAAATTCAATAGACATTATTATATTATAAACACTACAATTCATCAGTTTTCCCAATGTAAGGCTATAAAAGGGACAGCATAATTTCTTTTTTAAAAATTTTCCCCCTTATTAAGATATTACAAATGTGTCCTTATCCCCCCAATGACCTCTCATCCCCCCAATCCTGCCCTCACTCTCACCCCCTGTTGTCCACATCCATCGCTTATGCTTATAGTCATGTATACAAGTCCTTTGGTTGATCTCTCCCCCTCACCCCCACCTTCCCCTATCTTCCCTCTGAGTTTTGAGCATCTAATCGATGCTTCTCTGTCTCTACATCTGTTTTTGTTTTGCCTTCTATTCCACTTGAGCCAGAACTATTGGGAGGCTGGCAATACGTTTAAGCTATAATACTACCGTGGATGTGCTGAATTAAGAAGAGTCATGGATGTAATAATTGTTCACAGGCTTCCAGAGAGCCATCAGCATAGCATGACTAATGTTTGGAAGGGCACAGATCTTGGTGTGTTTGTCACCTTCCACTCTGATAAACTAGCACCATTTGGTTATATTTCTAGCCTTGTTTTTCCTTCCACACCCTCCCTTCCCCCATGTGGGGAGAACTGTCATGGGAACAGATCACCAGACCGAGGTCGCCACTGATGCAGGCATGCTGTTCCAGCTCCTGATATACCCCAAGACTTCCATCCACAAGACAGCCTGGGCCCTGGCTTGTGCAAGCAGACCCAGGGAAAATACCCCAAACTGAAAATCTACCTCCCTAGACTGAAGAAAGAGGCTGGCCGCTGCAGGCTGGTAAGTAATGGGGCTTATTAAGGGAAACTTACATACAAAGTGTGTCTTGGGCAGCTGCAAGATGAAACTGGTTCCTGCCAAGTATCACGGAGATCCAAGAATTTTTGTAGGGCAAAGGGATAGTCATGGGTACTATCCCTTGTACAGAAAATATCTTTACATGCTTGACCAGTCAGGACAACAGCTTATTCCAGGAACTGACACCCAGGAGGAGGCAAGGGAGAGGTGCTGATTTATGTTTGTCTGATCATAACTGCTATTCATTCTGTCTCTAAGGAGGGTTTGTGGAAAGCAACCTCTGTTCTGGCCCAGGTCCAGCTTTGGGACAGAGAGCGATCATATCATAGAACAGTGTCCTTCACACTCCACCATCTTGGGACTGGCTCTTACAATCTCCCTTCCCCTCTCTGCCGCCAGGTGCTCCGAGTGGTCAGCAAGGGGCTTCAGTAGCAGGGAAGTAGCTTGCTTAATCGCTAATTGACCATATTGGAGAGACAATCTGCTGCAATAGTACAGACAGATACAGAAAAGAGAAAAATGAAAAGAAGCAGTCCAGGTATTAGTAACATTTCCCCCCGTCATGACCTCTAGGCCCCAAACCAGTGATTTAATAGCTCACCTAGGCTGGGGGTCAGATCACTTAAAGCATTTGAGTTTTCATATGTGTTAACAGAGAAGCAATATTAGCAGACTTATATGGTATAAAAACACAACATTCAGTCTGGATGTGGCACAGGAACAGTAGAAATAAATCTAAGATCAGAAAGCTAAATATTTAGTAGGGTCATGACAATTTTATTTGCACCATAATCTTTGATGTTAACATGGCTGCAGCCATGGAAATCTGGCCAGGGGAAGTGATTTTTTTCTGGCGTGAGCCGGGGAGATAAGAAGAAGAATATACTAGGCCAGGACCCTTACCTTCTCTCCTCTTTTAATGTTGCACGAACTGGTCTATGTATAGCGTGTTTCCACGGGTCCCACCAGAGACTGAGTTCTTCCCATGCAGGAGCATGAAGTACCTGACCCATCCCAGTGGAAAGTCCCTTCACAGATTCCAGTAAGTGTCTCCGTTCCAGGGACAATAGGATTTGGTGCCTTGCTAGCTTGTTGGCCCTGGCAAACATCGGGTCTACTGCTATGTCCTTTGTTTTCTACACCTTTTCCCTACTGGGTGCCTCAGGCTGAGTTCCCAGCCTGACGTGTGGAGAAGTGCACCCCACGGGGTGGTTATTAAATATATTAGTGGTTGGGAAAGCACGTCTGTCCACCTGGCCCAAGTAGGTTTTCCAGTTCATAACTTTGCTGTTTGAGGACACCATTTTTCCGTCGTACCAACCCAGTTGCCTGTGGGTTATACAGAAGATGGAATCTCCATTCAGTAACTCTATTGACCAGGTCACTATATTTTAAAGGCAGCCCTGCCTCTGTAGCTATCCACCATCCTATTTGGGTACTATGAGGTCCACTCTTCCGGTGAACCCAATCTACAGGGTCAACTGACAGGTCAGTTGTTAATGCATGTATTTTTGCCAAGTCATCTGCCGCCTGGAGGCACAGACACCTTCTGGACAAGGACATGGAAAACAAGGTCTGCCTCAGACCCTTGCAAGTGAGTCCAAACACGTTTCTACATCTATTGTCTCCATAAATGCTTGTTCATAATTATTTACTCCTCTGTTTCTACTGTCTAAGCCAGTGATGGTGAACCTATGACACGCGTGTCAGAGGTGACACGTGAACTCATTTTTTTTTTGGTTGATTTTTCTTTGTTAAATAGCATTTAAATATATAAAATAAATATCAAAAATATAAGTCTTTGTTTTACTATGGTTGCAAATATCAAAACATTTCTATATGTGACACGGCACCAGAGTTAAGTTAGGGTTTTTCAAAATGCTGACACGCCGAGCTCAAAAGGTTCGCCATCACTGGTCTAAGCCATAACCCAACTGGCAGTATACAGGATCAGTGGCCAAGGTTCAGGTATGATGACCAACCAGACAGCTCGTAAAGCAGCCCAGGTAGTGTCAGTGGATGGTTGGGTGGAAGCTGCCATCCGGGTAGATGGAATACCCCGGCTGAGCCATTGGTGTCCCAGGGCCCGGCTGGAAGTTTTCCTCTTCTCTTTGCAGGTTGCAGGGGTTGACACAGGGATAGGAGCAGCAGTATTTGGAGGGTAGTACTCCTATGCTGTAGGAATACTCGCCATGTGGTCAGCATAGGAGTCTGAGCCGTGGCAGATGCAGTTCAGTGGAACATGTTGTCAATCCAGTTCTTGATGGGAAGGGAAGTTCTGTAACTGGCTGCTCTTTGGTAAGAGGCTCCGCCCGTGTTAGCACTATCTATATATACACTGCCAGTAATTGCAGTTCTAGTGAGTGTAACCGATTTCTGCCCCCTTCCACGATAGGGACCCAGATCCAAGGGATATCCTCTCTCTCTGCTATTTTTTGCCATAATGCCCAGCCCATGCCTTCCCCGGTTACTGAAATATCTGATTCAAATGTCAACCCCACCTGGGGGATTCCAAGGGCTTTAATCTAGTTGACCAGTATTTTCGCCTTTTCATAGGCAGCCTGTTGTTTGGCTCCCCAGCCCCATATAGGGCCCTTTTAAACCAGGTGATATAATGGCTGAAGGCATTATGCTAAGTGGGGTATAACTATTCACCCGTACCCCAAAATTCCCACAGAAGCCTGTACCTCTTTCACACTTCGTGGTAATGATAGGCTTGTAGTTTGTCTGTGACAGACTCAGGGACAATGTGGGTCTTACCTGACCATATGACTCCCAAGAACGTTAGTGCGGTGCCTGGACCTTGAATTTTCTGTGGATTTACTGCCCATCCTCACTGTTGTAGGTGGTTCAGCAAGGCCGCAAGGTGTTCTGCAGCAGAGGCAAATCTTCATAGGTTAACATGTCATCCATGTAATGAGCCCACAATCAGAGGCTGGGAGGGAAAGCAGTGACAAGTCCCAAGCCACCATCCCATGGCATGTGGTGGGGCTACTATGTATGTAAATAGCCTTGAGGTATACTCCAAGTGGGAAACATTTTCGCACAGTTTGTCACTGTGAAGGCAATAGCCTTAGCCTCGTGGCAGGGGAAAGCATCACCCCTTCCAGAAAATATACACCCAACAACAAGAGCGTACTGATAACCCATACCGAGTGGCAGTTGAATGAAGTCTAGCTTAAATGCTTTTGGTACATGAAAGAATGCCAAAACTGAAAAAATGAGGTTTGCCAGGGCCCTGGAAGAAGCAAGCAGCCGTCTTGGGGTGCCCAGGCCCTGTCTATTCATTTAATGCACAACCATTGTTGACCCACATTAATTTCCCTGATTCAGGAGCAGACTGCTGCCACGTTACAAGGACACCTGACAGCAAAAGTCTGGCAATGAGAGGTCATTTTCACAGAAGGAGAAAGGGCTTCATTTGGTTGCTGCTGCCTTTTTTTTTTTTTTAAATATATTTTATTGATTTTTTACAGAGAGGAAGGGAGAGAGGTAGAGAGTTAGAAATATCGATGAGAGAGAAACATCGATTAGCTGCCTCCTGCACACCTCCCACTGGGGATGTGCCCGCAACCCAGGTACATGCCCTTGACCGGAATCGAACCCGGGACCCCTCAGTCCGCAGGCCGACGCTCTATCCACCGAGTCAAACCGGTTTCGGCTTGCTGCTGCCTTTTCATGAAAGTCAACGAGAGCATAACTTTTCCTATGGAAAGGATTGAGTTTTCTTACATAATCAAAGACCCGATTAAGACAACATAAAACCCAGGAAGTTATTTTGATAAAAGATAGAATCTTTGTTTTCTAGGCAGAAAACTTGTTACAATATCTTATCAGGAGCAGACCCACAGTCCAAAAAACTTCATCCTTTTAACAGAAAGAGGAACAAACTCTAAATTTGCATCAGCTTACTTTTGATATTTTAAATCCATTTACATAATTGATCCATTTTGAATCTTAGCAGCTTGACCACACATTAAAAATTTTCCCCAAAGTTTTCTTTTCACAAACCTACAATTATTGCTAAAGGTTTCATCTTAAAACCTTTTTATTCGACACAAATCTATATTTAATTTATTAGTTCTGAACAATTATGGTTAGGTTACGCACAAAAACTTCATGAGATTTTAGACAAAATCAGCCATGATTCTAAGTTATTCTTCTTTTTTTTTTTTGCCGATAACTCTATAGACAAGTCCAAATTATAGGAATACCTCAATGAAATATTAACACAGTATTAATATGATTTCTAGTTGCTCTGCTAATGTTTCCTTTCTACTTTTCTCTCAAAGAACAGTGAAGAAACTTTAAACATTCTGTGATATTTTTATCTTTATAGGAGGAAAAGTTATCTTAAACTGCTTCAGAGGATTCCATGAAGAGTAAGTTTTTCTTTTTTTGATATACAGTGGGGCCTTGACTTACGAGTTTAATTTGTTCCGTGATGGAGCTCGTAACTCAAATTACTTGTATGTCAAATCAACAGTGAACAAGTGAGACACGTGATGCTGGGTGTTGTGGCGTTCACTGTGACGTTCGCTGCGCCAACTAGCGGTGAGGTATCTGAAGCTGGCTCGTAACCCGAATTTTAGCTCGCAATCAAAAGCAAAAAATCGGCCGAGAGACAGCTCTATCTTGAAAAACTCGTTAGTCGGGACACTCGTAAGTCAAGGCCCCACTGTATCTCTGACTTTGTTATTTCTCCTTCTGAGGAAAAGTAGAACAGCTTTTAGCTTGGTTTCCTGATTACTTAATTAAAATCTCACAGCAAAAGCTTTGTATGTAATATGGTGAAAATAAGGGAAGTGCTGAATGTCAGCACTAAGTACTATGAGTTGATGAAGAATGTTAATAATGGGTGATGAATATGATACTATCATATAGTAGTTTCATTATGTTTCCTGATACTGACACCTATGTATGCTTGAGTATATTTCATTTATACTATACCTCAATTGAAAAAGGACTTGAAGTTTTGAATTGCCTTGACGCATTAAAATATTTTAGTGTTACTAGTCCGTTATTTTATGATTAACTCCTGCTTTGGAACACTAGAAAGGGGAGAAAAAAAGGAATGTTCTCACTTATTCATATCCCATATTGAAGAAGTAAGAGACTGTACCACGGAGTGAAACTATTAAAGAAGTGTTCTAACAGTAATCTGAAATAGCACTAATTAAAATTGGAACTCTGTATACAGGGGAATTGTTAAATTTTATGCCCACTGAAATAGCAAAATAATTATACTTTAGTTACAAAAATAAAGAATGACTTATTTTTAGCATATTTTATAACACCCTACTTAAAAGTTGAATAGCTGCAATAAAACGCATTAGGCAGATGTGGCTACAGTACTTGCTTTGAATGCCAGCTGGATCTGTAATTACATTTTTGGGGAGATGAAGACTTGAATGGTTGCATAGAATGTGGTACGTAATATTACCTGCCAGCAGTGCTATTGTAGACACTCTTAATTAAAAAGTACGTTTCAATATATTTAATTTATAATGTGTTTTATTATATTTTTAAATTGAAGATTTATATCCTTAAATATAAAATAAATTTTTATTAAGTATTAGGATATCTATCCTTATATTAAAAAGGAGATAGATATACAACATTTAAAAAAATCTCATCCAATGATATGTTTTTGTTTTTTTTAGAGAGAGGAAGGCAGAGAGAGAGAAACATCGATCAGTTGCTTCTTGTACACACCACGACAGGCGATTGAACCTGCAACCTTTTAGTGTATGGGATAACGCTCCAACCAACTGAGCCACCCAGCCAGGTACTTTATACATCATTTTTTAATGTGAGATTTGACTTTTATCACATTGCCTTTAACCAAAAATAGAGGCCAGTTCCTGAGAAATAAATCACAGGTTATAGATTAGAGTTTTTAAAATAGTTTGATCAGTAGTTCTGCTATTTCTCTTATTAGCACAGATACTGAACAAATTTACCTGCCATTTAAATCTATAATTGAGAGACAAGAAAGCATTTTGGCAGGTGAAAAAGGACAATCAATTGAAAATTAGATGCAAGAGAAATCCCTTCAAAACCAGCATGCTAGATTTTCATATTGTTCAAGATTGTGAGTCTCAGATCTGCATTCAAGGCCAAAAGATGATACTGATTTGCAACTGCCAAGATATGTCTAAGGAAGTCACTTTTAAAGGAGAATGACAGTGCAAGCAACTTTAGGGGTCAGCCTCCTCTCGTGTATTTGAAAAGGGAAGTGGGTTAGTCTCACTCTCCAGTTATCCCCATAACCGCTCCCCAGCACCCGCTCTGCTGTCAGCTCTGTGTCTATGCACTGTACCCCCGACGGACAGAGTTCAAAGGAAAGCCGAGGCTGGCTGCCCTGCACACTGTGCTGTGTCAGCCGGCTGACCTCAGCGGAAGGGAAGTTGATGATGCTGCCCTTTCTCTCTCACCTGAACTTTATTCTCTACATATTGAAACCTCCACTTTACTGAAAAATCAGGAATATCTACAATGTAGTATTATAACAAAGATGTGTGTAGGAGGGAAGAGATATCTTTAAAACTGTATGCTAAATGTGACATTTTTGGGAGTGAAAAGGAAAAGCAATTATGGAAAACTCCCCTTCCTAGCTTTTACCTTTCTGTCAGAGGGAACTTCTGATCCTAATCTTTCCTGTGCAAGTCGCCACCCCTCTTCAAGAGGTTTTGGTTCCTGAACCTTCAGAGGAACTTCCGGCCTGGGAATCTGGCTTTCTCCTCAAGCCTGTAATTCACCCACCCCCTAATTTGATTCCTGAGTATAGAATGATAATACCACCTCTGTGCGAGTCAGCAGGAGACTGCAGCTAGGAAGTGGCCTGGTACTCAGGAGACCGAAAGTCTGGTCTGTGCAGGACCCCCCACCTCTGAGAGATGTGCTTTCTTAGCCTTTCAAAAAAAAAATTTACACTCACACACACACAGTTCTCATAAGGTGAATGCAACACATTTTTCCATAAATGAAACATTTTCCCAATGAATACAGTGAACCATATTGTTAAACTCAGTAAGGGCAGTTCTCTTTGTTCAAACTTGTTTCTCCAGACAATGCTTCTAGCCGTGGTTTTCAAAGCGTCATCTGGGACGCCTGGAGGTCCATCAGGCCAAGTTATTTTAAGGTAAGTCCTGAGATGTTATTTGCCTTTGCTACTCATTCTTTTACAGTGAAATTCTCCAGAGCTTCTATTGCCATCATCATCCTGACAGCGAATGGAATATATGCTTGTGGATCCTGTGTCTTCTAAAATCTTCCAAAGTAAGCTCTTTGGGGTCCTTCATTAACTTTTAAGAGTGTAAAAAAGGTCCCGAGACCTACATAGAAGGTAATAGATGCAAAGTTACTCATTTCTCCTCCTTGAAACCACAGATTGATCCACCCCGGACAGACGCTCTTCAGGTGTATCACAAACACCAGGAGCCTCATAGTCACAGCTCGTCCCTGCCTTGAGCATATCCAAGGCCTGGCCCGGACGTCCTTCCCATAAAACGCTCTGAACAGAGGCTGGCCGTGTGGTTTCCCTTTAGCCCAGAGCTGGGATTTCTATTTTCTCCTTCCTCCAAAGTTGAGATTTTCTTCCCCCAGGAGGCATCTATATCTAAACATTGTACGGAATGTAGTTTCAGAATAAATGAACATACATATATTATATAGAAAGTCTTATATATAAAATCTAAGAGTGATCAGTTTTAACAATAAGAAATCAAGGAATTTCTGTAGATGTTATGCCATTTCTGTAGTAGATAAGCATTTACACTCTACAAAATGACAGTAGGTCTAAGGACATATAAGCTTAGTCCTTTAATTTGCTAGAGAAGAAAAGTTAAGACAAAGAAACCTGTTTTTAAAAAATCCAGAGTGAGCTTTAATAGGTTAACTACTGAGAAATTAGCAGGGCTGTCATGTGCCATGAAGTTTGAGAGCAACCAACCAGTCAACATTGACCATCCAATTATAGTTTAATAGTCAGTGCAAACTTTTGCTTTTTAGTTTTGAATTTCTATTGGATTCCTTGTATTCTATCTACCTTAAAAACAGCAGGAAGGAAAACAAGCCGAACTTATTAATAAGCTAAAGTTTGTCTGTAAAGTTGATTTCTGGTATTTCTATTCCATGGGGCTTCTATGTGTCCCAAGAGGTTTCCTGTGACTTACTTAGAAACCACTTCTCTTCTTAACTACAGGACCTACCTATTATTTTATCCCAGATCCTCAGAGGCAAAGCATAGCTTAAGAACTTATAAAACCCTGCTTCTTACTCACATGCTCTTTACCACTTTAAAAGTTACTTCCTGGTGCCAGATACACTGCTAACTGTGGTTCACAACCAAAAATAATAGGTCAATACAAAAAGACTTAGGGTATTATTTATCTGCTGTTTTTCTTAGGACATAACATCTATAAAGGAAAAAATGATCATGACTATTAGAAATAAAATAACATTTAAAACTACAAAAAATGTTATCCTGATAAATGAAAAATACTTTTCATATGTTACCCTCAAATACCTTGCTTTAGTTAAGTCATTATCCCTGCAGTGTAATAGATCCAAAGAACATAAAACTGCTCGTCCAATATTGTTCACATATTGAATGGTATAGCTAGAAACATATCTAAGTCTCTTGAATCATGTCTGCGTGCCCAATGAGAGGGAGGGAATGACAGAGACAGAGAGTGAGTTAGTTTTAGGAGTAGGAAAACAGTGAAGCAATTGGCTAGCTATGCTTTTTAGATCTAGTCTTTGAAGTTCCAAGATAATAAAACAGACTAGACAGAGCCTATTCTCTAAGCTGAGTAAGAGAACAAATAATCCCAATGTTACAACAAAGAAAATTGCTGAAGTTAGATATTATTTATTCTTCTTACAGCAGCATTAGGTGATGAAAGTTTATATAGATGAATAAACCATTCATTTGGAAAGGAAAGCATACATTACACTGAAATCTAACACAGAAAAATGCAGGTCTTTCATATCCTTAGGGAACATTTTTCCTAACTACATGTTAACTACTAGGCCTTATGGTCTTTTTCAATGAGGTTGTCTTTTCTAAACAGCACCATTAGTGGGAACCCAAGAAGCCCTAAAACAGTCTCTGTTTCCTATAGATTAATGTCATATTAGTAAATATCAGAGAATACAAGTTATTTGGCCCATTCACTCAATTCTATTAATGCAGGCCCCAGTCAATCCAAATATTTCTCTTTTCCCTAATTACTCCCATTTTCCAGTCTCTGCCTTTGCTCATGCCATTCGCAGTACCTATACAGTGGGGCCTTGACTTACGAGTGTCCCGACTAACGAGTTTTTCGAGATACGAGCCATCTCTTGGCCGATTTTTTGCTTTGAGTTGCGAGCTAAAATTCGGGTTACGAGCCAGCTTCAGATACCCCACCGCTATTTGGCGCAGTGAACGTCACAGTGAACACCACAACATCAGCCCAGCATCACGTGTCATTGTAATGGTGAAAAGTGATCTGACATACGAGTAATTTGAGTTACGAGCTCCGTCACGGAACGAATTAAACTCGTAAGTCAAGGCCCCACTGTACTCTCTTTCACAATCACCTTTTCACACCATGGTTCTGGGATTGCCTGTTGCTAAAACCCAGTTCAGAGACTACCCTGTTTGTCTTTTTTAAAAAATATATATTTTTATGAATTCCAGAGAGGGAGAGAAAGAAACATCAATGATGAAAGAGAATCATTGATTGGCTGCCTCCTGTACATCCCCTACTGGGGATTGAGCCTGCAACCTGGGCATGTGCCCTTGAACGGAATCGAACCTGGGATCCTTCAGTCCGTAGGCCAATGCTCTCCACTGAGCCAAACCGGCTACGGCAGTTTTGTCCTTTTAGATCGGAATAGCACAAGCAGTGAGTAGGTGGGGATCCTGGAGTCAGACATCTCGATCAACTACTTCCTAGTTATGGGCAAGTGAATCTTTCTCTTCACAGTTTCCTCTCTAGTAAGTGAGATTGGAGGTTTAACCTACCACAGGGTTATTGTGAGGATTAAATAACGTATGCAAAGCACTAGGCCGCTGACAGACTGATGCACAGGGGGTTCTCAGTAAGGGCCCGCTGTCATGTTCTTAAAGTGAAAATAATTGCGTCCTCTCCTGGCTCCAATTGCACTTTCTGTTCTTCTTTACCAGTCTCTCTCCACCTTGGATTAGTTAACATACACACCAAATTATGTCTTCTCTAAGGACAGGATAAAAACAAAACAAAACACCTCCTTATTTTTTTTATCTTCTATAGCCTTTGTATACTATAATAATGGGAAAGCTAGCATTTATTAAACACAAAACACATGCCAGAAATCAAGTGAGCTTTTTACATGCATCCTCTCATTTCATTTCCATAACCACCCTATGTAGCAAGTAACATCAGTCACCCCCACTTTACAGTTGAAGAAACGGGTTTAGAGAGGTTAAGTAACTTGCTAAATGTTCCATAGTTAATGGGGACTTTCTGATTCTACATCCCAAACTCTTTAACAACCATGTTACACTGAATGACCATAATCTTCACCGTAAAGATGCGTATTGCCTCTGCTGTGCAGTGGGCTCTTCATAAATAACCACTACCTTGGAGAGTCATGTCTGACAATTTTTACTGTGAAGAGTGAAATTAACAAGGAAGTTTACAGAATTGTGTCATGGAGTCATAGAGGGGACCTGCAGTACAGTTAACCCATACTGTTGTATAGAGCTTGGCCCATGGACCAGTGCTTAGCACCCCTGGAGGCCTGCTGGAAATGCAGAATAACCTTGGGCCCCAGCCAGAGACAGTGCATCCCAACCTGCATCTTAGTAAGATCTCCAGTTTAAGAGTCGTTTTTTATAGAGGCCTCACACGGGCAATTCTCCACTTCTTAAGAATAGAAAAAGGAAAATTAGACTCCGGGGAATTTTCTTTCTAAAAGTGTTAAGAGATCATGGAATAAAATATGGAAGGAATGTGTAAGAGGGCCTTTCCAATAAGTTATTTTTAATATATATATTTTATTGATTTTTTACAGAGAGGAAGGGAGAGAGATAGAGAGTCAGAAACATCGATCAGCTGCCTCCTGCACATCTCCTTCTCGGGATGTGCCCGCAACCAAGGTACATGCCCTTGACTGGAATTGAACCTGGGACCTTTCAGTCCGCAGGCCGACGCTCTATCCACTGAGCCAAACCGGTTTCGGCTCCAATAAGTTATTTTTAAATGATAAGTGATAGTCTAAGAAACCTCAACTAGGAACAGAGGGTCTTAGTTCCTGAGGGTCTTAGTTCCTGAGTATATGGAAGATTATAATTAGTTGTAGAATATAAGTTCTGAAAGTAGAGTCTTTATCTCATTTATTGTTGTATTCTCAAAGCACAGAAGAGAATCTGGTACATAGTAGGGACACAACAGATATATGTTGAATGAATAAAGGTATGCTCTTAAGATTCTCAGGGCAATTCAAGTACAGTATATCCCCTAAAAAGTAGAATTGGGGACAGGAATAACTTCTAGATCAGTGGTTCTCAACCTTCTGGCCCTTTAAATACAGTTCCTCATGTTGTGACCCAACCATAAATTTATTTTCATTGCTACTTCATAACTGTAATGTTGCTACTGTTATGAATCGTAAATATCTGATATGCAGGATGGTCTTAGGCGACCCCTGTGAAAGGGTCGTTCGACCGCCAAAGGGGTTGCGACCCACAGGTTGAGAACCGCTGTTCTAGGTTCTCAAACTTTAGAGAAGTGATTTGTCTTATGTGTTCTAATATGAAAGAGGTTTTCTGCCATTAAGGAGGACACAAGGAGGTGAAGAGAACATAATGTTAATACCAAAATATGCCTTATATAAGAGGCAATTACATATTACATAATGGAAAGAAAAATTATCTTTTCTTTATATGTTCCATTTTCTTGTTTTAGAAAACTCCCGGGCTTAATAAAACCCGAATTTTGTTCTTTAAACATTGCCTCAGAAGCTTTGCTAGGGACAAGGTGATTAATTCTGCACCGATTTCTGGACACCAGGGAGCACAGCTCAACAGGCCCAATAATAAAGCCAGATATCTTAACACTTACTTTTAGCTCAGTTTAAAGAGAACAGCTGTTTTCACTCCAGTATCTACTCATCATGATGAACTAACGTTGCAGCGTGTCATATCCTCTTTCGGCATTAAGCCTCCAGGCCAGAGACACACTCCTAACAATATTAGGAAGTAAAACAGTAAATCTGTGTCTGGTCAAGTCAGACAACCTAATTAACCCTTCAGTTTATAGTTAAATAGAACAAATGTAGACACGAAAGGCTTTGTCGCATTGATTACTGGATAACCAAGATTTCTTAACTATCCTTAAGAATCGATAATATCGGATTCATTTACCGATTTCATTGTCAGAATGTTACAAAGGCTGCTGAGGTTTAACTCTCTTGCATTCACGAAAGAAGGAGTAATCTATTGTGGAGTGTTAGAGCAAAAATGTTCCATTGTAAATACAAATTTTGAAATGTTTTTAGCTAAAGAACTGAAATTAAAGCAGGACAACTTTTATCATAGCCCAACAAAGCCACCTATATTCATGACAACAGCAAATGTTTATTATTTCTTTGGGTTTCTTATAGATACAACTTACTTTCTAAGGAAGGTAAGATAATTCTAGGATTTTTTTGGTTAGTTTTACCATTATGACAGAAGTAAAATGCATAAGAAAAAGAAAAGTTATTTTGTAAGAACTTAATGCTAGCAGGGACATCGTTCCTCACAAACGTTCCTGGCAGTGTCCTGGTTGTGCCTACCTCTGAAAGCCGACTGCTTACCTCTCAGGTAACTCTCGTGGGTAACCCCAGGGCTGTATTTCCTTGACAAGGAAAACTGAAAATATCTGCAGGGGAATGAAACAGTGTTTCAATCTACCAAGCAAAGTAACTCCAAAGGGTTGATGGACGACAGATAAAAAATGTCAAGTGTGCCCAAAATTAAATAGTTCAGTCATAAATCATTCAACTCAGGCAAGAGTGAAAATAAGAGTGCTTGTCCTAACAGCCACCAGAAAGAAAGGACACATTCCAGCCGCAGTGACAACATTGCTTCCTCCGGCAATCCCTGACAGCAACACGTCTGAGAGCACAGGGAGGACAAAATAGAAATATCTACCTTTCATGGGTGGAACCCCATGACATATTTCCAAAGAGAGAGCTCATGCAGAGAGGAAAACCAAACCAAACCATAAAACCAGAACTGCATCTTTCAACAGAAAAATCCCTGACATGCCTATAAAAATGATCAGAGCACTGAGCACAGCAGTCACCTTCGGCTGAAATAGACCAAGTAATTGCAAAGGTATGGGAGTGGGATTTTCTTGGCAGGATGCACACACCAAGAAAATAAAAGACCTTAAACAGGCTCAAGGTAATAGATGTCAGTTTCATCATCTAGCTCTGAGTCACTGTGTACATGTGCTGGGAGCTACTTAAAAGTCCAAAATGTCGCATGACCTTTTGTCTATTCTTTTTTTTTTTTGGAACTAGCGTTTTGATTGAAAAATAATACTGTCACTGGCATATTCCTCTAAAACAGTGGTTCTCAACCTTCCTAATGCTGCGACCCTTTAATACAGTTCCTCATGTTGTGGTGACCCCCAATTTCATTGTTACAAATCGAACATAATTAAAGCATAGTGATTAATCACAAAAACAATATGTAATTATATATGTGTTTTCCGATGGTCTTAGGCGACCCCTGTGAAAGGGTCGGTCGACCCCAAAGGGGTCGCGACCCCTGAGAACCGCTGCTCTAAAATGTTGTGTGTTTGTGTGAATATATATTTTATTTGTTTTTCTCCACAAATGAAAGCATACTTTATATATACATAGGTACTATTCTGAACCTGATCTTTTTGCCAAAAATATACTTTGAAAATATTTCTGTTAACTCAAAAACATCTGCTTCACTGAAAGGACTAAATGATATTACATTGATTGGATGTCCCATAATTTATCCAACCAATCATTAACAGTAAAAATGCTTTTACAATTAAAAACAATGCAGGGACCCTCTTTCTGGGGTTATATCTGTATGAATATATCTTTGGATAATTTTGTAATACTGCATTGCTTGTCAAAATTTGTGTTCCTAATTTTGATAGAACTCAATCAAATTTGTTAGAGTTAATCCACCAGCAAAACTTTGAGGATGTCTGTTTATATATACCCTCACCCACAATATATTTGATCTTTGGAGAATCTGATAGGTGAAATGGCATTTCATTTTTGTTTTAATTTTAATTTTCAAAACATTAATAGGTATTAGTGTTTTGAAAATTCATTTTCAGTGCCATTTGTATTTATTTTTTAAAAATATATTTTATTGATTTTTCACAGAGAGGAAGGGAGAGGGATAGAGAGTTAGAAACATCGATGAGAGAGGAACATCAATCAGCTGCCTCCCGCACACCTCCCACTGGGGATGTGCCCGCAACCAAGGCACATGCCCTTGGCCGGAATCGACCCTGGTACCCCTCAGTCCGCAGGCCGACGCTCTATCCACTGAGCCAAACCGGTTAGGGCAGTGCCATTTGTATTTAAATGTGAATTTGGCTTGTTTATCTTTCATTGATTTGTAGAAGCTCATTATATTCCACATTTCATCAAATCTAAGACATCATTAATTGTAACCAAAAAATCTGTCCTTTAAGAAACAGTGCTTTTTTATCAGCTATAATTTTTAATTTGAATATATTAAATAATCCTTTTACCCTTAAGTAGGCAGATATTTTTGTCATGTTTCACTCTCTCACATATAGACAGGAAATAAACCAAATTTCTCCAACGTCTGACTCTTCAGAATCATTGCAACAGAGTCCTCCGTGTTCAGGGTTTTCCATATAACGGTGTCTCTGTGCAATCAGAGGACTGGTATTGAAGTATTTCTTTTGATCAGTTACTCAAAGAACTAAAAGCCTGCAGGGCTGGGCTCTTAAGCTGACATTGAATGTTGTTGACATTCTGGCCTGCTCTTGACCCCAGCCAACTGCAGGAATGTTGCTAAAGGAGTCTGATATCCCAACCTTCCCTCTCCTCCCACAGCCATCTGTTTCTACAGATGACACCAGGAAGCTTCCGGACATCCTCATTCCAGAGACGCTGAAACGAGGGGAAGACGTGAACACAATGAACACAGTTCTCAATAAGAAAACTGGACTTTGCATTAGGGGTTGTAAATATCTTTCTCAGGCTGGTACTTTTATTTTGACTAATATTTTTTATCATCAAGAATGTTTACATGTTCATGTGGTCAAATGTATCATTTATTAAATATATGGAGTATGAATTTTGTGTCTGGAGCTTCCCACAGAAATATTATAGAAAAAAAGCCCATACTTCCCAAGGAACAGTTTTTTTTTGTCTTTTTTACTTTTAAATTTGTGATCTAGGGTATAGGATATAGGGTATGTGTGTATGTTGTGTGTTCAGTAGAATGTCTGAGGTAGAATTTCAGCTTTTTCTCAAACTACCCAGGTTTTCCACTATCATCATATACTACTAAATTTTCACATCTGTGTTGGTTTATTTTATAGTTTAGCTTCCTTTCTTTTATACACTGATATATCTATATTCTCAGAAAGTATAATACAATTATCTTCTGTAGTGAAACTCTATGAACTATAAATCTTACTGTAATATAAGTGGGCTTTCAATTCTCCTTTTTCTTAAGTTTTCTGCCTTTTTGAGTGCTTTTCTCATTAGTTGAAGTTACAATCACTTTATTCTCTTTATTGTCACAATATTGAATTTACATGATTTAGAGAGTTGCAATCTCTAGAATATCAATTTACTGTCTAAGAACAATGAACTCATTCTACTTATTAAAATCTCATTCTATGTTTTTAAACTTTCAAATACATAAGTCCTGTTCACTTATATTGTTAAATTTATATCTCACTATCTTACTAGTTTATTGTCATTGTGAATAGATTTAACATTTTCTAACTAGGTATAATGCGCATATAAAGAAGCTGTCGATTTTGTAAACATGCTGATTACTCCAAATTCTTCTTAGTTTTAATATTTTTTCCAGCTCATTCTGGCTCCAAAGCCTATACTCGATTATACTCTACTGCATCCACATCAAATGCCTGCTCTCATAGGTGCTTTCTCCTCCTGGAATCTCTCCTCTTCTTCAGTCTTCTCCAGGTTAGCTTTAATGTAAACAGCCACCAGCTGTGCATTCCCTTTCATGGCCTATCTCTGGCCTTCTGTACTACACTGGTTTGCTCTTATTTATAGGTGGTCTGCAACTTTAAATATTACATGTCTTGTATTCCCAGCACCTAGTAAAGCGTGCCATCTATTGAATGTGATCAATAAATACCTATTAAATGGGAAAAAAAACTAACACAAAGAATAGAAATTCAGTTTTAAGAGCCCTTGGTTCTATATCTTTGCATTTTATTAGTGGTTAGTACACTTCCCTGCACATAATAAATACTCAATAAAGGTGAACTACTGGCTCACTATACTCCTTATACTTTTAAATATGCCAGTGCATATAATAGTAGATGCTACTTCTTTTTAAATAATCCTTGAAGTTGTTAGGTTTCTCTTAGACTACTCCTCTCTAGTCCATGGTCGTGCAAAGACAAGCAACAGTTATGCACAGGAATGTATTCAGAGGCTAGAGCTACTTTTCCTCAGACCCAACAAACATAGGGTTTTGTCATCTTACACCACATGGAAGTGGAATAGAATTGAAAAGTCAAAGCACAGTTGGACATATGAACAATGGGAAGTCATTGACTGAATGAGTATCATCCTTTTGAGGTCCACCATGATGACCACCACTGTTGCTAGTAAGAAAACATCTTAGAATAAATGCCTGGACAACAAGAGCGGGAAAAGGAGAATTGATATCTGCATTTACCCAGCATTCTACACTTCCCTTGATTTCACAGTCATTCTGTTCCTACCTTTATTTATTTTTAAAAAAATATATTTTATTGATTTTTTACAGAGAGGAAGGGAGAGGGACAGAGAGTTAGAAACATAGATGAGAGAGAAACATCCATCTGCTGCCTCCTGCACACTTCCCACTGGGTTTGTGCCTGCAACCAAGGTACATGCCCTTGACCGGAATCGAACCCGGGACCCTTGAGTCTGCAGGCCGATGCTCTATCCACTGAGCCAAACCGGTTAGAGCATGGACTGAATGTTCTTGAGCATCTCCAGGAAGGCCTGCGGGGATGGTGCCTCCACATTCTGGAAGGTGTTCTGGACTCTGCGGTACAGGAAGAAGTATTCCGCCTGGAGCCAGATGAACCCGAAGTGGTTCTCATCAAACAGGATGAAGACTCCAGGTAAGCGACTGGTGAATGTGAATTCAAAGAAGGTATCAGTAACAGTGTCCACGCCATAGAAACACATCCTGCAGGTTCGGGGGTAGTTGTGGAGTCTTGAGCGCACGCCCACAGGCAGAACAAACGGGACAGGCTGCTCCTCCGCAGCTGCAGCCCCGAACTCCCCCACGCTGGGCTTGGCAGGGCTCTGCCAGCCATGGTCCTGGCTTTCCTCAGTCCCGTCTTCTTGCTGCTGCTGCCGCTCCCCGGTCACCTGCTCGTCAATCTCCTGGACCACGCGGGAGAGCTCGTTGAAGTTGCGGAAGATCTCGCCATCTCGCAGCTGGATGCGGCGCATGAGGTGGATCTCTAACGCCTTGGCTGTTCCGGTGACCCTCGTGACCCTGGCATACTTCCCATGGAAGCTGAGCATGGCAATCTGTAGGCCGAAGGCATCGTAGTTGTATTGGAAGAGGCCTGAGGTCGTCGGGTGGCTCGGCGGGAGGTAGAGGCGGCGGTAGGTCAGGCTGTCCTCCTTCACCAGCACCCACCTCTGTCCTCCCCAAAGCCACGTTAGTGAACCCGCTTGGTGGTCTGTCATCTTACACAGGGTGGTGAACCTGTCCTTCTCAATCAGAATGTGGCCGTGGTGGGGCCTGCTGTTGAGGCCTTCCATGCACTCCACCGTGGCTGATTTCCTCTCCGTCAGGCGAATTCTGAACGAGGGCTTGAAATGCATTGGGTCATCCACATGGGTGTCAAGGGAAGGCCCGTACCTCCAACCAGTAATGCATAAGCCGTCCACCACGACATTCAGCAGTGTTCTATCGAAATGATCTAGCTGCCACAATCCCAAAATGTGTCTGTATGGGTGGAACAGCTTCGCATAGACTTCTCGATAAGACATACCGATCTCCAGGTTCTGCAAATTTTCACGAACACCATACTCCTCCCGGCAGCACCGTCTCCAGATGCTGTCGGTGTGCAGGATTTGGTGGAATTTGGTGCAGGCCTGGGCCAGGCTGGGCAGGTTGGTGCCTGGGAGCGAGGCGAAGATCTCCACCAGCATCTCCACCGGCAGGTCCTGCAGCAAGCAGTGCGGGGTTGGCGGGGGCGGCATGGAGCTTGCGACTCCTCCACTCCCAGCACAGCACCACGCTGCCGCGTCCGCCTCGACGTGCTTTTCTGCCGGGGCCAGGGCCGGCTTGCCATCGGCCACTGCCTTCTCAGCTGGGCGCTGGCGCTTCTGAGGACACCGACGTCCCTGTGAAGAGCCCACGCTGCAGAGGCAAGCGCACTCCTCCATGCCTCCACGTAAAGCAGCCACCACAGTGTGAGCTGCTGCTCCTCAGCTGGGCTTTAAGCTGGCTCGTCCCGCCCAATAGTCCAGCCACGCCCCCAGGGCCTAGCCAC